TATATACTATATAGTTGACAAAACATGAACAATTAACAAATTTCAAAACTACAAAAGTGAAAACAAAAGACTAATGAGTAAAGACAATGTTGTATTCTTGTTGAATACTTCAAATTTGAATGTCCGTTACCGACACAGTGTCAAATTTATAGGCCTTTGGGCTTTGATCATGGCCATGGATCATTGTTTATATTCCTGCCTACATAGACCAACTACCAACATAAACCATAACCATGATAGGGTCTTTGGAATACGATAATTATGATATGAACCACGGACTAATTGATTAGTGATAGTCGATAGACTAAGGGCCAGTTGTACAGTCTGTGATTAAACTCCGATTACGCTTAATCAACCGATAACAGATATTTAACCAGCCAAATTCGGCCGGTTAAACTGTGATTAACTTTAATCACAGACTGTACAACTGGCCCTAAGTGATTAGAACAAATTATTTATCAATTGTTATTTATTAACTTTATAACCTAACCACAAATTGGACTTCAAATATTATCATAAAAAATTTTAATTTTAAAATATATAAAAAAAAATTTAGTTACGTAGCTACTTCGATACATTGACACATCGAAATAACATCGAAGGTAATTTTCGATGGACCAATAAAAATCGAAAGACACTGTCGGTGTAAAAAACATCGATACATCGAATATAACAATCGATGTTTTCGATTAATCGATGTATCGTTGCCATCCCTAGGTGCGCTTAGCCGATCCTTGATTCTGATTCTTTCGAGACCTACGATGTCCGCTGGTGGCATGCAAGCCAGCAGCAGGGGAGCCTCGTCAGAGACGGTCCTGTACGCGCGGATCACTCTCAAGGCGGCTGCTCTCTGAGGCTAGATCAGGTTAGCCTTGGTCCTTGCAGCTGTTGACGCCTGGGTGGCCCTCACCGGAGCCGTGTACAGCGACTGGCTCTCATCTTCCATTGGCTGGGACCCTTCACGTTGGACATTAGCCTCGCCAGTGATGCTGCGGAACGGGAGGCCTTCTTGGTAACAGCTTCGATGTGGGGAGCGTATGGATGCTAGTCGAGTATGAAGGTACCTGAGATTTTTTTTCAATCCAATGTGGTGCCCGCCCACCACGAGGCAAGAGGGGACGAACGCTCGTCTTTTAGTCAACAGCTCGGCCTCACTCTTATGGTGAGCGAGCTCCAAACCCCTGCTGGTCATCCACGCATCAATCGCTAGGGTGGGGTTGACGGCTTCTTCGAGTTGATCACCCGTTCTGGCGACTCCGACCACTGCCAGATCGTCAGGTTAGGTTAGGTTAGGTTAGGGCCAGATCGAGGACTTCCACCTCGACCTGAACGAGAAGTTGGGACACTCTCCCAACAGAGTCCCCGAGTTTAGTGCTGAGTGCCTCAGCGATCGTCTTAACTGCCGCTGAAGATTTCGATCCCTTGGGAAACTCCAACAGCAAGCAACCATCCTGGGTCTCGCGCATGGAAATGCTAGTGCCTAAATCTTGCGTGGTGAGCCCGCAGGAGCGGACCGATCGCACGGTGTCCGCGAAGCTCTTCCCGTCTCCCGGCTTTATCAAAATGGCGGGCGGCTTCTTCGCAACGCTAGTGTGTCTCGTGGGAGCCTTGGGGACCGGCGGACGGGTCACAGATACTGCGGCTTTTTTGGTTCTTCGCGGCCTTCTCGCGACCTTGGCCTAGCTGTCGACGGCGTCCGTCTCCATGGCGGTGTCGTCTTCTGTCTCCAAAGGGGGGGCGTGCTGCGTGGTGACGTCGGTCGGTTTCCTTGAGGCTCTCCGCCTGTTAGGTTACTTCAGCTTGGCGTCAGGATGGTGTCGGTGCTGGCGTCGATCATGACGTGCTTCTCAGGTTCACTGTCTTTGACCTTTCTTAGGGACGGGGACGCCGGAGGGGAGACGAGCTTGCCCTTCTTAGTTAGCATTCCATTCAGGACTTGAGACATTTCGGCCAGTAGAGTCGTTAGGTGGTGGATCCCAGGGACGTTCTTGTTCGGCTTCATTTTGGTCACGTTGACTGTGGAGTTCAGGGTCGACCTAATGAACTTCAGTCCTGCCTCGATGTCGCAGAGGTCCTGTTCGGCGCTTGAGCTTGCACTACTATCATTTTTTCTCTTTCCTGCCAACGGTGGTAGCTCGCCCGTGGCGAGGTACAGGGAGGTGGAGGACATGCTGCCCACGTCGGTAACCTCGACGTCGTCTTCCTTCACATATACATCGTTGCTGTGTTCAGACATGCTAGTTGTAGTTGGTTTTTTTGCCATGGGGATTGGCGCGTTTCCGGGCCCCGGACCTTTGGGTGTGGGGGGGGGGGTGGTTAGGTTAGGACCATCTCTCATGCCATGCCTCCATGGTGTTGGTTCTCGGATCGTTGCCTGCCGTGGGTGCCACGGGGGCCCGTCTCCGGTCGAACACCGCCTCTCTCTCCTTCGCCAGGAGGTCTGCCGGCAGCGTTGACGCGATCACGTTTGTGGCCGTCTCGGAGACGGTGCGGTACGCGCAGGCACACCGGAGAAGAACTCTCCTTTGAGCTCTGTTCAGGGTCCGAACGTTCACTGGAACAATCTCCAGCTTATGATCCCAGCTAGGGGCACCGTACTGGAGTACAGAGTGCACCACCGACGACAAGAGCTGCCGTCGGTCCTCTCGGGGCCCGCCCATGTTCGGCATGATCCTCGCCAGCTGGTTCCCGATCTCCGCTGCTCTGGCTGCCGCTTTCTTCACCTGGCCCTTGAACAGCATCGACCTGTCCACCACCATCCCGAGATAGTTCATCTCGGTCGAGAGCTGAACGTCGCCGCCGCACAGTCCTAGCCTAACCTAACCCAACCTTATCGTTTTTATGGTATTTCTAACTGATTAATTTATAAAACACATTTTATTTTTAAACTTAAGCTAACCTAACCTAACCTTTTCTTTGTGGTATCGAGAGCCGGAGGGAGGACTGCTGTTAGCATTACTTTCCCTCCGGCCTCATCGTTTATTATAAATAACAAAACATTACAATATCAAAATACAAGTGTAAAATGTCCTCACGACCTGGTAGACTTTTATTAGTGAAGGCTGGTATATATGTGTCTACCAGGGAGCGTGCTCGGAGGGCTTACAATCAACATCTTTCGACAGTACAATTCAATAATCGTACAAATAATTACAATTTACAGATTATTTTTAACATTCCGGACGCCTTTATGGGTGTCCCCTTCTACGGTGCCTTCTGGACCCGGCTCGCTAGCCCACCGGTTTTGATGTCACGTTCTGCAGTCATCTCGACCCGGCTCGCAAGCCAGTCGGTCTCGGTGTCACGTACACTGCACAAAAATCCTACCTTCCCATCATCTTCCCTCTGCTACCTGTCTCGTCTTTTCTTCCTGTTCTTTCAAAGTTAGTATGGAGTCCACCATCCGATAAAACAGCCGGAAATCCTCCTTCGCTTCGCGCAGTAACAAGTGCTTTTCGCCATCATCAGCAGGTAGGCCTTCGGAGGCTGGGGCACACAGTGTCGGGAGGTCTTCGGCGCTGGGTGGTCTGCGTAGTCGGGTGCCGAGCTCCTCTCTTTGGCCGCTGAAGAACGGGCACTCGAAAATAATGTGGCGCGCGGAGTCGGTTTCGTGACCACAGTGATGACATCTAGGAGAAGCGGCCTTGCCTATCCTACACAGGTATTTCTGAAAGCAGCCGTGTCCCGTCAGCGCCTAAGTCTTGTGGAATGACAGCGGTATCCACGGCATGGTTCTTCCAAGCCACCTCGCGCCTGTTAACACCTTTCACGTCCACTATGCTTTTGCTGTTGTGGACCAATTACCTGCCAGACGGTGATCGTGGCATCGCCCTCTTCTCTTTTTACCCGTCGTTGGTGCGCTATGAGCATTTCGCTCACATTGTTGTTATTTTGGGAACCATTGGCTTAAAATTATTTTGTTCATATTGATATAATGATATTATTAATATGCTTATACAAGTTACTAATGGAGATAATAACGTAAACATTAGCTAATCTATAAATAAACTGCCCATGTTATTTCCGTCCAATGTCGACTTTACCGTATTTCTTACGCTGTGTCCTAACTGAATCCGTGCGTTAAGTTAGGTTAGGTTAGGTTACGCACCCGACGCAACGCACGCAACGCAACATATTGTTGGCAAAATTGACGTCGATGAATTCACACATGCAACGCGCAAGAGGTTGTGAAGTTGTAGGCAGTTGAACATTTTATTTTCAGTTGTTAACATGTCGTTAACCACCTAAAAACGTAAAATTGTACTATCCGAAAATTTCTTGGTTAAACTTTTTAATTTGAAAAAAAAACGCAAACGTAATCCGCCGCATCAAATTTATAAAGATAGGTTTGATTTTGGCGAGTTTCATCATTTGTATTCAGAGCTACGTGCTAATGACAATTTATTCTGTTCTTACACACGAATGAGTACAAGTACTTTTACAAAATGATTAATAGTTTTTATATTATATTAACAATAACATAATATATTAAAATATAAAACTAATTTAATTAGACTAAACTAAATTCCTGTATAGCAGTATTATATTAGCATTATAAATTATAATAATTAAATAAAAAATGAAAACTTTTGAATTATAAAAATAAGTAATTATACATTTTCATTTTAAATACTAGAATCATGTGTGTAGTCTGGATACTGGAAATTTGGTAAAAATGGTGGTATGGAAGTGTATGTTGGATGTACGGTAGAGGCTGATGGAATAATGTAATTTTGGTTATGTGAATTTGTTGAGCCGAAGTATTGCTGTGGTGGTACACTTTCACGTAGGGTAAAGCATGGAGTTATTGGCACACTCTAATTGTTTAATTAATAAATAGTGCGGTATTTGATCTAGTAATGATTTTTTTTTTTAATATTTGGTCATACTGATTAATTTTCGCTCCAATAATTATCAACATCTTATTTCAATTAATTGATAAGTAAAATGCATCAACAAAACAACACTCCGTCACTTCACCAATACTGGTAAGAAATTATATTTTTTTGTTAGCAAATACTTCCTGTAAAATAAGCTATTATTCAGGTTTTAATGGCCTTAGGTTATAATGAAACCTTTTATTTGATTCACAAGAACAATTTTAATTAAATAGTAACAAAATTAAAATTATTACATTTTTTTATATTATTATTAATTGAGGTGCTAATAACTAGATTTTATTTTAAACCTATTTCAGTTATTGGCATTGGGTGCCAATAACTGAACTTCATTGTAAATAATTATGTTTTAGTTATTAACACTACCCAAAAATACCTAGTTAGGTACCTAGGTACTTAGTGTAAAATAATATCTTTTTAACAATTAAATGTTATTTTACAGCTATGCCAAAAAAATCATCTAATTTTTGTGACGATAATATTGCTGCAGCAATTCTAGCTGTTGATAATGGCATGTCAAAAAAAGCAGCTTCCAAAAAATTTAACATCAATAGATCAACCTTACAATTTAGACTTAAAAATAGAGACAGACCAACATTTAATTGTGACCTTTCAAGTATCCCTACCAAATTAGAAGAAGAAATTCTAGTACAATGGCTTTTGGAATGCTCTAAAAAAGTATTTCCTAGACGCCGGGAGGATTTGCAGTTGAGTGTCAAGCAGTTCTTAGATGAACAAGGAAGGTCTAGCCCGTTTAAAAATAATTATCCTGGTAATTATAATGTTTTTTTATGTACCTATTAGATCTTTATTTAAGTTTGAAATGATTCAAAATAAAATAAATTAATATTAGTATTAACTTTTTAATAAAATATTAACTAAAATAAAAGTTAGTAGTATGTTTTTAGTCTAATGTATAATCAAATAAATTGACCAACAATTCATCAACAATAATAATAATAATTCTTTGTACCATAGGATTTTTATTGAAAATTTAACAAATACCTACCTATTAATGTAATTGATTAATGTTACTTTATTAAGAAAAAAATGTAAATTAAAAGAAAATATTATTTGTTTGTTTATAAATTATTTTAAATAGGTAGGTACCTAAAAAGTTATTGAGTAAATTATTATTATAGTTATTAAATAGGTTATTTTGTTAAAATTAACATAAAAGTTATTGTTTTAATTAAATTATAATACATTACTTCATTAAAAACATATGTAGTTAATACAAATTAGATTGAGGCACACTGTTTTTTTTATCGAGCCATATTAAATAGGTATAGGTACTCAATATTTAACATTTTAAAATTATTTGTTATTAAATAGCAATTTGATGAACGCTGTCTATAGAAATATGATATTGAAGTTTATTACAAGATTAATTTGTACTCAGAGGTAAATAAATACTGTTATATATACTGTGGGTATGAACATTTCTTATGGTTCTGGGTATCCACTTAGTTAGTTACCTACTGTTTCGCGTGATTCTACATTATTGCTTTAAAAGTATTTTAACTTTATAGGTATGCTAGGAAATTTACTTTGGAAAATCTAAAATATACATTTATTAATTATACTAATTTTATTTTTAGGAATTGCTTGGTATAAAGCCTTTTTAAGAAGAAATCCTGTGATCTCAGTTAGAGCAAGTGAACATGTCACATCTGCAAGTGCAAATGTAAATGAGCAAAATATTAGAAAGTGGTTTGACGATATTCATCAATATTTATCTGATGAAAATATGTCAATTATTTTAAACGATCCTTCTCGAGTTTTCAATGGAGATGAAACAGGTTTTTCTCTTTGTATTAAAACAAAGTCTGTCCTGAGGCCAAAAGGGGCAAAAGATGTCTATGAAGTCGCCAAAGGAAACGAGAAGGAAAATTTAACTGTTATATTTACCTTCAATGCGGCGGGAATTATGTGTCACCCAATGGTTATTTATAGCTATAGACGTATTCCACAACATATACTTGATTCTGTACCTCCTAATTGGGGTGTTGGAAGGTCTGATACAAGTTGGATGAAGGCTGAAGTGTTTTATGAATACATTGCTAATGTTTTTTATCCTTTTTTGATTGAAAATAGTATTCAATTTCCTGTTATTCTCTTTGTCGATGGGCATAAAAGTCACCTTACATACCAACTAAGCAATTTGTGTTCGCAATTAAATATAATTCTTATTGCTTTGTATCCTAATGCTACAAGAATATTACAACCAGCTGATGTGGCCGCATTTAAACCTCTTAAGTCTGGTTGGAAAAGGGGATTATTTGAGTGGCGCAATCAAAATGCAAATTGTGCAGTTACAAAGAAAGATTTTGCACCAATATTAGATAAAGTCATAAAAAATACTGTGAAAAGAGAAGTTTTGATTAACGGTTTTAGGGTATGTGGGATATATCCATGGAATGTAAATCAAATAGACTTTAAAAATAAAGGTCCTGAATTAAATGATACAGACATTAGTGACATTACCAAAAGCACTAATACTGCTCTTGCTACTCTACTAAGTTTTAATGATTTTTCTGATATTGTTGGTGCTGAAACATTGGAGAAGTTTAACAACATACATGATGAGATAGAAACCCAAAAGTATTCAGAAGAATTTTTTACTTTGTACAGATTATTTGAAAAATTAAAGAAGGATAATAGTGATGAGAGCACTATTCGATTATCACCAATAAATTCTACTGCCCAACCTTCTGATATTAATAGTACTAATCAAATATCACCATGTAACTTTAAAGCACAATCTCCTGATTGTATTGTTATTAATAATCAAAATGAACTATTTAAACAACAGACATATATCACAACATCAAGTAACATTTTAGAAAAATCTGTAAACACACCTACACACCTTGTTAATGTTAAAAAGTTAAATATAACACCACTAGAGTCATGTCTTGTGTGGCCTGTAACTCCTGAACAAAAAAACAATAGAAAGACTGAACGAGTTCCTTATGTTATAACATCCAAAAATTGGAAATATTTGTATGAACAGAAAGAACATGCTAAACGAACAATTGAAGAAGACAAAGAAGCAAGAAAAAGACTTAGGGAGGAAAATATAATTTTAAAAGCAAAACAACTCACTAAATCAACAAAGCAAAAAGTTGTAAAAAATCTTTTTCCAGTACTTAATAAAAATAAAAAACCGACAACTGTCACGAGCCAAACTATTAGTTATAATCATTTTGAAGGTACTAATAATGCGGACATAGATCTTGAAGAACCTTTCAATATAAATGTATTTAATAGTATAATTGAAAGTGGTTGTTGTGTTTCATGTGACTCTGAAATAAAAGTTACTGATTTGGGTGTTGAATGCAATTTTTGCAACAATAAATACCATCAACGATGTGCTATGAAAGATACTACTGATGATCTCAATTGTGAAGATATTCTCTTTATTTGTCAAAACTGTGAAAAGGCTGTATACGTTAATTAAATACTGTATTATAATTTTGTTTTGTTTTAAAAGTTTTGACTATCTACGTTATTTTAATTACTTGTGTTATTTTTAAAAAATATTTTTACAATTAGTTTTGACTGATGCAAGACTGCAATAGGTATATTAAATAAAGATTTACTTGAAGATGTTCTATATTGTATTGTTTATTATTAGTGCATAATTGTCTGTAATTCTGATGTGCTTAATTTTATTATAGATACTAAAGGTGCATTCCTACAATGGGCATACAAGCGTGGGAGGGGGGGGGGG